CTCTGGGCTGGGACGCGAGCGGAGTGGGGAGCAGGGGAGAGGGGGCGAGCGGCGGCAAGTGGAAGCGGTGTGCAATGCGTGGTGCAAGAAGGGCGCAGCGCGGAAGTGTAACGGCGCACCGATCGGGTGGAGCGGTCCGAGCACACACGCACAGAACTAGATAAGAGAACACCTGCTCGCACGTATTTGCAAACGCGCGGACACATACACGTGCACCCGCGCATGATTTGCTGTGCGCCTCCTCCCTGCATTCGACGCTCGCGTGGAGGCCGAAGGCAACGCGGGCCTCCTCGGCCATGGTTTTCAACTCGACCTGCCAGCTGGACTCCCAAGCCTGCAGCCTCTGCTCGAATGCCTTCTTCCGGCCGCGGGCATGGACCCTCCCCTTAGAACATATTAGAACCTTTTTCCCCTCACTGCCTCCGAACTTCAGCCCTGCATGCGTCCCCGCCTTCGCCCTCTCCCTGCCTTCCTGCCCCCCACGCTCCCTTGCTTCCCTCTCCTTCCTTTTCCGACCTGCCGCCGGCTAGGAAGGGTGGACGTCTTGCTAAGTCTTCCTGGGACTTTGAATCTCTATTATTGGGGTTGCGAGTCCCCACGCCAGCCGGAAAACGCACCTCCCCGACTGAATATACACTGTCCCGACGGAGAACACACTTTCTCATCCCGACAGAAAATGCACCCACTGGAGTCTGATTTCTCTGATGCGACAAGTGCCCGCGTGGCCTGAATGCACGCACGCGCGCAAGGCCATGCGTTCAGCAGGACGTGTCGGCAAAACCTATGGAAACAAAAAGGGGGGGGGCAATTTTGAATGAAGCTGGAAATGCGCGGTCTGAATGCGGCTGGCAAGCCAAGGGCCCATACAATACCCCCTACAAGGGGTAACCAATAGATGCTCTGGGAGAGGAGACTGCCCACGATCATTCGACCAACGAAGGGCTCGCGCGTGTTGCGTTTTTTTGCGTGTGTGTGTGTGTGTGCGTGCGTGCGTGTGTGTGTGTGTGTGTGTGTGTGTGTGTGCCGTCCCTTCTTCCTCTCGGCCGTCACCCCCTCTTTGCCCGCCGGCCAATTCGCTAGTTAGTGCCCCTTTCTAGCTTCTCGCTGGAGCGGAGTTTGCCGCCTCGCCGCTGATAAAAAAGTGTGTGTGTGTGTGTGTTTGTCGGTGCGTGCGTGTGTGTGTGTGTGTGTGTGTGTGTATGTAACGTGTGTGTAACGTGTGTGTGTGTGTGTGTGTGTGTGTGTGTGTAACGTGTGTGTGTGTGTGTGTGTGTGTGTGTGTGCGTGCGTGCGTGCGTGCGTGCGGGCGGGTCGCGCTATGTGTCGCGGGTGGGTCGCGGGTGAGTGGCGGGGTTGGTCGCGGGGTTGGTCGCGGGTGGGTCGCGGGTGGGACGCGGGTGGGTCGCGGGGTTGGTCGCGGGTGGGTCGCAGGCTGGGTCGCGGGCTGGGACGCGGGCGGGACGACGACAACAAACACCAGCAACAACAACAATAATTTTAAGACTGTTCGCTCTTATCTGCCCGCGTGCCATTCAACACGTCTGTCCCAAACCTTCGATACCCGCCCTCTTCGTCTTCGATCGTACCCCCTTAGGGGTATATTTTTCGAACCTGCAACGTGTATTTCGTGCAGCCCCTGAGGCAGGGGAAGGGAGGACGGATGAAAGGAAGGGACAAGGGGCAGGCGGGTTGCTGCTGCATAAATTGCGAGGAAGTCTCGAGCGATAGAGCGATTCCCAAATGAATCGTGAGGAGATCCACAGCGAGAGCGTGATTCCTGAATGTCGAGGGCGTGGCGTCTGAATAATTGAAAGGAGGTCCCACGCGAGAGCGCGATCTGTGTACATTGTGAGAAGTCCTGCGCGAGAACGCAATTGGGAATACATTGTGAGGAAATATTCGGCCAGAACCAATGCTCTTGTTGCTGCTGCTGCTTTTGTTGTTGTTCTTGTAAACCGTGGGCCAGGGTCTCAGTTTGGTGACAATTCAGCTTCCCTTGTAAAAAAGGTGCGAGCCCCGAGAGAAGCACTTTAATAGAAACACATAGAATTGTTACCAAACAGGGGGGATCAACAACCATTCATTATCCTTTAGAAATGAGACTTCGATCCGCGCCGCGGAAGCCCACACCAGCCACGCACCCAAGGACTGTGAATGACCGTGCGGCCCCCTCACTCTGACTTCTCCCGCTAGACGGACCTTTTCCGCAAAACAATCGCAGTCCCGTGTAACGAAAAGATGGTGCCACTGAAATGCTCCGCACAACCCCGCTAAGTGAGCACTTTCGGAACTTATCAGAACTGTACGAATGATTTCAAAGAGTCATTTAAGCTCACGCGCGACTTACTCGGTCACCTGCCCGCCCTGGAGCTTCCTCTAATGCAGGAGGCAAGGCTTGCGAGGCCAGCTCCAGAGCCCTGGCGAGTCCCCTCGCCCTTCCGTTCAGGAGGGATGGGTCGACAATTCCACTGCGTATTCAATGTCTGGAACGTGTTGTGACGTTTGATGCAATGACCCCAGAGGCGGCATCGCTGGCATGCACGGGTGTCCCTGCAAGGGGGACCTGCAATCCGAAGAAATACCGCTGACATCGGCGGTCTATGATCCATCTCCCTCGACGTCACGGCTCTATCGATGCCCCCAGATGCGACACACCAGACAGTGCTCATTTTGAGTCAGCGAAGGTCATATTCTCACTGCACTTTATCGCGGCTCTGTGTGCGTGCATGGTCGCCTCATGGCACAAGAAAGCAAATGGAAAATAAACAAACGATGCCGCGGCCCGGTATCCTGCGGCACTCGATAAATAAACAACTGGAGCAGAGAAGGCGGCTGCCTAACCCTGTAGGGTTGGCTGGCAGCGCCGCGCTTCTGGTGCGTTGTGCTGAAAGGCCTCTCGGTCTTGCGTCGCCTTCCTGGCCCCCTTCTGCACGGCCAATATTCGCCACTCGACTCGCTTACGCAAGTGCGCTGTCGTACCATCGAGCGATAGTGGTGCAAAAAATGAAAGGACGCGAAGCTGGCCCACCTGTTTTGCCCTGAGATTTTTCAGAGCCCGTGGGTCCTATCTCAGCGGGGCAACCGCGAGGAAGCCGAATTGTCTAGCAAAAAGTTAATATGCATCAATAAAGGAAGGAGAACCCACCACCGTGCCGACGGCACATTGAGGCATATTGGAATGCCTCTCAGCCGTCTGGAAGTGCTTCAGTGATCTTCCAGGGGCGAGCCCCCTCGGGGCGCCCAAACATGAACCTCAGAGGTCCGCACGGGTTTCCCACATCGGCGCTGGACACCACTCCCCGGCGCGCGGAACGCGCCGAGGGCGGCGCCGGAGGCGCCGCCAGGGGGCCCTATAGCGCCAATCCGAGGAGTCCGCGCGGACCTCGTTTTTTTTTTTTTTTTTTTTTTTTTTTTTTTTTTTTTTTTTTTTTTTTTTTGTTTTTGTTTTTTTTTATTTTTATTTTTTATTTTTTTTTTATGTGTGTGTGTGCGTCATGGTTTGTCCCCCTGTCAAGACGGCCCAGGACTGGCCCCAGCACTCCAAGAGACCCCTGCGAGGCCGCCGGCTGCCCCCCGTGCGCTCCGAGAGGCCCCGAGGAGCTCCCCGCGCGGCCCCCGAGGGAAGTGGTGCCGCCCGTGGCCGCCCCGTGCGCTCGCAGGGGCTTCCGAAGCGTTCTCCCGGCGGCCGCCTCGTGGCCGCCGCGTGGCCTCCTCGCACGCGGGCACGGAGTCTCTGGGCTTTCGTCCGGTGGCCGCCCTCGCGCGCCTCGTGTCCGAAGCCGCACGATTTCGGAAGACACGGCTCAGACCGTACATGTAGTTCACCGTCCTTCCTCCTCCCTCGTCGTCGCCTTCGTTGGCGTCGTCGTCGTCGTCGTCGTCGTCGTCGTCGTCGTCGTCTTCGTCGTCGTCGGCGTCGTTGTCGTCGTCGAAGTCGTCGGAGACGTCGTCGGTGTCGTCGTAGTCGTTGTCGTCGGTGTCGTCGTAGTCGGTCTGAAGAGGTTTTGCAAACCAAGATGCGGGTGGGTGGGTGGGATGTTTGCGCGAGCAGTGGAGATGACGACTTCAAGTTCAGCAGAGTGGGTTCACACCGCATAGCTTGCCCCACACAGCTTGAAAACCGTGTATTGCCCCACGTGTCGGAAACATCCAGAATGCAAGAGCTCGTCGCTTCGGGTCCACGCAAGCAAGCATTCCTACTTCTCTTTGTTTCTCATGCCTGTCTGCGCACAGCCTATAGCTTCAGGACAGCTTCGGAGTGGCCCAATCAACCTGAGCTATTGCGTGAGACGGCCCCAACATCGGGTCACATATTCCACCACCAAGATCGCACCAAGACGCTTCCGAGAGGTGGGACCCGTCCGGGCAGCCCCAAAATTGTTGTACGGGGCTTCTTCGGAAGAGTTCGATGAGAAGTGGGACCCGTCCGGGCAGCCCCAAAATTGTTGTACGGGGCTTCTTCGGAAGAGTTCAATCGAACCATCACGCCCAAGAATGCCCGAAGACCCCCAACAGGCATCAAATCACCCGACAGGGTCCCAAGACAGCCCCAAGACTTGGTGGGCCCAAGGAAATGCGCAAGCAATGCAGCACTAGTCGTGTATCTCCACGTCACGCTGCAGCATCGCAGCGCTGCTTCCCAGGCGGCCCGAGAGGCTGCTGCCGAGCCTTTGGGGTGTGCTCGGGAGAATCATCGAACCCAAGAAGGCCAACGATCGCACTGGAAGCACGCAGGATTGCAAAAAAAGGATTGCAAAAAAACCAAGGTTTTTTTGCAATCATGGTTTTTTTTGCAATCTTGCAATCCTTCGTTTTTTTGCAATCCTTCGGGTTATGCCGGACCTGTTCGGGAGAACTTGTTAGGACGATGGGTTTGCCGCATGCAGCCGGATAACGACACGACAAGGAAGCGGCTCGAGGATGACTGTGGCAACCTGTCAAGAGCTGAAGCGCCAGTGGAGGCCCACAGTCCAGCATGGATCAGCACGCGCCCCTCGTGGTCACGCTGCCACTGACTCGACCAAGTGCAATGCTTTAGCCTGGACCCGACTGGTCTTCTCCAGAGCGACCTGCACCCGGCAACTGACGAACAAAGAGACTGCCATGACATGATGAGGATTGTCTGACTCCTCTTCGCCGCCACATCTCTCACGCAGTCTGTCAGCCAGCCGTCTGATCAGCCTGACGTCCTTGTGGCAGAGCTGGGCAAACTCTGGGGAGCTAGCAGTGCCCAATCCAGCCTCGATTCTCTGCGCGAGCGTAGCCAGCACCGACGTGGCGGCGTACACCTCCCGCTCCTGGCAGGAGTCGAACTTCAGCAGCACGGCCTCGACCAGCGCGAACCCGAAGGCGGACACCCGGGGCCAGATGGCGGGCGGCGAGAACATGATGAGGTGCGCAAGAAGGGCCACGACGTCCCTGTCCTCGCCCTCGCCCAGCTGCACGAATCGCGCGACCGTCTCGTCGACCAGCCCCTGGATCGCCGGCGCCCGCGGTGGCAGCAGGAAGCTCAGTATCCGCCCTCTTATGAGGTCGGCTGGCAGGCTGCCCAGCGAGTGCCCCGGCAGGGTGTCGCGTTCTCGGTCCTCCGAGGCCGCCAGGAGAAGCAACCTCGTGCTCGGCCAGCACGAGTCGTGCCACCGCAGCAGCCTGGCCAGCCAGGCCAGCAGTGCGGTCACCAAATGAGGGCTGCTCGCGAGCAAGGGCGCTATGGCGTCCAGGTAGCCTGGGAGCACGTTGTCGCTGCTGCGCATGGCGAGCCCCCTTGCATGCCTGTTAGTGTGGATCACCTGCAGGTACGAGTTCAGCATCAGGGCCGCGATTCTCGCGTGACACCAGGCTGGAGCCCCCGCCAGGAGACCCGGGTCGAGCGGCAAGATGCGGAACGCGTTCTCCCGGCTGACCCGAACAGGAGGGGGAGGAGGGGGAGGAGGAGGGGGAGGAGGAGGAGGAGGAGGAGGAGGAGGAGAAGGAGGAGGAGGAGGAGGAGGAGGAGGAGGCGGAGGAGGCGGAGGCGGAGGAGGCGGGGGAGGCTTCCCGGCTGACCCGGTTCAGCATGCTGCGCACGGTGCGGTCGAAGAGCGCGAAGTCTCCGGGCACCGCCCCCTCCGCGGTGAGCAGCCGCCTCCACCTGGGCCCCCAGTGCGCTGCAGGCGGCTGGCCTCTCGGGGCCGCCGCCCCCAGGCGCCGGCGGCCCCTCCCGACGACGGGGGGCCCTTCCGCGGTGGCCGCCTGCATGCCTCGGCGCGCGCGCGCGCGAGGCACAGCTCCGGGCCCCGCGCGGCAGGCCAGCACCCGCGCGCCGCGCCACGGGGCGGCCACCCGGCGGCAGGAGAGCCCGAGCCAAAAAGGGCTGCGGGGCCCCGCGGCGCCGTGCTCCTCGGCGCGGCCGCCTCGGCGAGTGTCGTCGGGAGGGGCTCACGCGCGCGCTCGCTCGTGAAGGGCGGGGCCCTGGGGGTCGGGGAGTGGGCCTCGGCCTGGCGTGTTTGGTGCTGTGGCGCTCTGCAGGACTGGCTCCCGGACCAGGGGGGGGCAACGATGACAGGCACCTCGTGTGAGCTCCTCCAGTCCCTGCCCCGTTCCCGGACGCGTGGGCGTTGGACTTCCTCAGAGGCGGTCTGGGCGATTGCCCGGGCATGCGCCTTCCTCTGGAAGACCACGCCACGTGAAGACGATGGAGGAGGAGCACTTGGCAAGCAGTTGGAGAATACCTGACGTTCAGTGCCCTTTAACCCTCCCATGGGTCCAGTTATATTGCTTCGATCAGTGTTCTCTAGGAGCTCAGAGCGTCAAGCCCACCTTGTTTCCCCCCCCCACCTCCCCCATCGGAGAGGCTCTCGCCCAAATGCTCTGCCGAGGGCGGTGCTCCTGTCCTTTTGGTCGACTGGCCCTGCCGGGCCTAACTCAGCGGGGCAAATACAGAACTGCAACATCGAAACGACGCCCGCCCGAGTTGTGATGATGCTGATGCTGCTGATGGTGTGTTTCCTCGTGAGCGCCGGGCCTGGGCCCGTGACGTGTGTTCGGTGGCTCTCTGGGACCCTGCCTGCCCCAGATGTGCACTTGGTGGCGTAGCGGGTGGAGCCTACGTGCACCCATTACGGGCAGACCTGGGCATCGCAGCAGCACCCGCCCAGATCGTGCAGATGGATCGCCCAAGCCGTGCCGGCCTGGCCTCCCAGACGGCCTGGCTACGCCAAGGCCGACCTCCCCCGGGGCGTGCGGAGGCCGCCGCTCCTGTCCTGCTCCCCCCCCCATGCGCCTCCCTTCCTCGGGCCCCACCTGGAGCGTCATTCTCTTGGGGTCGGGGCGCCCAGGATCGGGCGGGGGCGAGAGCAGGCCGGCAAGACCCCACCACTCCCGGCTCCTCTGTCACGGATCGTGTCGTCATCATCGTCGTGTGCAGTGCTCTCACGTTGTTCTTTTGTCTGTGTGCATGCGTGTCCACCACTGTCTCATCCGCATCGGGAGTTCGAACAAAGCAGGAGGAGCAGCAGCAGCAGCAGCAGCAGCAGCAGCAGCAGCAGCAGCAGCAGCAGCAGCAGCAGCAGCAGCAGCAGCAGCAGCAGCAGAGCAGAAAGGGGAGGAGGAGTGTGGCCATCCTTCTCCTCCTCCTCCTCGTTATTTCCCTCCTCCCTCCCTTTTCCTCCCTCCTCCTCCTCTTCTTCCTCCTCCTGTCGTGGGTCCTCGGGTAGCACCCAGATGTGACTCACTTTTCGCAGAGTGCTGGCCCAGCTGCTAGCGTTGCCAGGGTCAAGCGAGCAGGTTAGGCCTCGTCTTTTGGGACTTCTATCAGAGGCTGGTGCCACTCTGTTTGAATCCCACGAGGAGGCGCTCAAAGGCCTTAAGGCCCTTCAGGTGCTGGAGGCCCCTCAGGACCCAAGTAAGAAATCTTCGGTTTTTGTGGCCCTGGCGCGAGAGTGTCAGGCTCGTCTAGATGCGGATGCGAAGCGTACGAAGCGGGAGCGCCATGATTTTTGCAAATGCTCGGTGCAGCTGCAAGGGGCAAGGAAGGCTCACAAGTTTTCCAAGGGCCCAGCTCCAGCTGCTGTCCCCGCCTGGGGCGACGACCTAGATAGTGAGGGAGCCCCCCTGGCAAATCAACTGGCTTCGAATCATATCCTTCAAGAATGGGCGCCACTTTGGGGCAGCGACCAGAGACGTGGAGAAATCCACCAAGCGTTGTGGGATGTCCAGGACCAGCTGCCGCCGATCACGTCAGAACAAATGCTGTCGGCTTGCGAATTGGTTGGGAAGGTGAAGGTTCTCGGGTGGGACAGCTTTCATCCTCGATTGAGGCATCAGCTGCCAGCAGTGTATGCCCAGCGCTTTGCGGCTATATTGCATGCGCGGGAATCCGACCCAAGGGTCTCCAGGCTTCGGCTCATGTTAATCGTGTTTCTCGACAATTTACTGGGGGTGTGAGGCCAATCGGCCTCCTGCCCTTGTGGGCCAGGCTCTACTCGCGAATTCGGCATCAGAATTGCAACGGGTGGGAGGGGCCCCACGGGTGCAAGCTGTTTTGCGGTTGAGACAGTGCGTCGGCGTGCGACAAAGGTGCGTGGCTCCACGTTGCGTTGAGCTTATTTGCTAGGATGCGAGGGCTATCGATGGCCTCGGCGTTTCTGGACCTTCGTAAGTACTCTGAGAACAGAGGGCATGCGGCCTTGAGAGAGGCTGCGCGCGAGGTAGGTTTCGCTGACAGGCTGCTTCGAGGGCTCTGTTGCAAATACAGGGCTGAGAGGAGAGCAGTGTTTCAGTCGATCACGTAGCATGCTGTGCCTGTTAATGGGACGGCTGTTCCCGGTTGTTCCTGCGCCACCTCCCTTGCCAGGGTCATGATCCTCAAGACAGCAGCTGCCAATCATCCGATTGTTACAATTCGCAGTTTGATAGATGATGTTTCGTTTCAAGCTTTGGGAGGCCCATCCACGGACGTTCAGAAACTTCCCAAAGCTTTCCAATGTGTCTCGGGTTCTGTGGTGTCCAGGGGCCTTCCGATTTCCTGGAACAAGGCGGAATACCTCGCCTCGTCGAGTCAGGTTTCCGAGGACCTGGAACCACATTGGGACCTGGGGCCTGATGCCAGACGCTTTATGCACAGAGATTTAGGAGGCGATGCCACAGACGGGAGATTGTTCCGCTGTGAAACCAGTTAGCTCGTTGTAAGGACTCTCTCCATCGCGGGAAGCCTCTGCGTATTTTCCAATATGGAGGAGCGCGCATCGGAGCTGTGCACAGGGGAGGCCCTACGGCGGCGGCGATGTGGGGAGCGAGCATTTCTGGCATCCCAAACGGTCGCCTCACAACGTTGAGGGTTCAAGCTGCGAAGGCCCGGGCGCGACTTCCTCGAGGGGCCTCACATGGACTTCTTCTGGCAGCCAGTCGGGCTGGTTGGCGCAGAGATCCCTTGGTTTTCACGACTGTTTATTATCTAACAACTTTTGCTACGGTGCTCTGGGTAGGCCATTTGTGCAGAGCAATCCTGGAGGTGCTGCTGGTCCAAGCTCAATCGCACCCGAGAACGTGGGTTTCGGCTACGGATCCAAAGGGGTTGGGTAGGGGTTGGGTGGAGCTTTCGAGCGGTGGCGGTTGTCATGGACGACCGGGGGGGAGTGAGACTTGATGTTTTATTCGCCTGGTTTCGTTGCGCAACTGGTGGCCTACTCGGCCCGCCGAGCGTCCGATCGTCGAGCCCTGCTCCTTCCGGATAAAGACGGCCCGTGGAACTCCGAGTTCTTCTGGAGGCCAACTCTTGAGTTTCTGTTTGCTAGCCATCCGGTGATTGGAGTGAGCACGATCAGAATATGATTCGGGGCCTGATATGGGCCGCGTTGGAATCAGGTTCAGATGAATACGCACCAGCCTTCGTTTCCTGGTGACTGCACGTTGTGTCAAGGCGGTCACGGGACCTGTTTTCACAGGACCTTTTTTCTGTCAAGCGCTCGCGCTGTGGCGGCGTGACAACCTCCCAGGCCCAGTAGAGCGTGCTAGCAGAAAAGAAAGGTTCAGAAGGCGCCCCCCAATCGGCGCGAGCGCTTCGCCAGAAATATGTTTCCCGACACGTATCCGTGTTTTCGTACACCTGCGTTTTTGTTCGGGTGGGAAATCCATGTCAGAGGGGTCTGGTTTCCGTGCAAACTGGATGGAGGGTTTGTCTTTGTTTACGGTTCTGGCTTTGAGGGCGGTTTCCCCGAATCGGTGCGCAAAGTGGGCAACTGTCCTGTATGATTCTCAGAGGCGTTCCCCGGGAGCGATTTATGGAGCCGTCCCGCGCCTTTTTAGGCCTCCGCAAGTAGCCAGAGACGGGGACGACTTTGCAGTTCTGAAAGTTTCGAAGCTTGGTTTCGGGCAGTTCTCGGTCTTGTGTGACTGCAGAGTAACCCCCAGCTGTTGTAAACCTGCGATGGCGCAGGCACCTTCTAACGCTCGAGCTCACTTGTGGACTAAGGTTCGCTGGAGGATTTTGGTGCGTCGGCCCTTCATTCATGTCACGGGCCACGCGACTTCACGAGACGAGGAGGTTGGAAAGATCTCGCCGTTCCACCGCGTGGGCAACTCTCAGGCGGATGAGTTTGCCAAGAAAGGACCGTTGCAGGCCAGAGCTGTAAAGGCCGACGTGCTAGCGTTGGAAGGGTTTCGTGCTGTAGGGAAACAAGTTGCTAAAGCTGTTGCTTGATGCACAGCGATGGCAGTAGACGCGGGTCAACGTGATCATCAGGACTTTTAGCACCCGAAGCTGGTGGACTGAGGGGAGTGGCTTGAGGAGTGGGATCCCGAGGCCCCTGCCGTCCCCGACTCTCCTCCTGCCGTCGACCTCCCTCCTGCTGCTGCTGCTGCTGCTGCCTCCTCGTCCTGTGAAGGGGCTTCGGCGTGGGCCCGAGGCGAGGCTGTCATGGCCCAGGGTTTGCTCCGGCAACGTCCGTGGAAGGCCAATGGGCACTGTGTTTTGGGGGCGCAAGTCCCTGGAAAAGACCTGGTCTTGTTTTGTTCCTCGTGTTGGCACCACGCGGTTCGTCGAAACCAGAGAAGCCTCAAAAGGCCATGTAATGGCCCCCGTGAACTCACGGGAATGGCCGCCTACTCGTCCCGTCTGAGGCTGCTCATCCCTGCCTGCATGCTTTTTTGTCGGCCAGGCGCGCTTCCTATCTCCAGCTACCCGAGCGTGCTGGTCCAGCCACTTTGGAGCGGCGCCAGATGAGGGAACTGAAGTTTCCCGTCCCCGTGTGCGACCGTTT